GCTAGAGTTGAGAGCGCTAGGGCACCTTGGCTGTGTGGTGCTTCTGAGCCCCATATTTACTACTATTGGTAGAGAGTTTTTGCTGCTCTGGGTGCAGGGAATGCCTGACAAATTTGAAGTTTCATGATCCGGGGACCTGCTACGAAGGTTAAATAAAATTTGAATTAAAGCAAACTAAATGCTGAAGTTGGAAAGGAGGCTGATGCGTGCATCTTTTGCACTTATATTTGCATGCTTTCACTAGTGAAGGTTGTGAGGCAGAGCTGAGCATTTTACTGAGTTTTTCACAATTAATAACTAGGCAGAGTGTTACTTCCATTTGGTATCCAGATGGTAACATGGTGTATTGTGGATGACACTGAGAAATTTGCCACCTTCCTCTAGAAATAGCTTGCATGAAGTATATAAAAAATGTAATCTATTTCTGCAGTATGAAAAATAAGGAAGAGTGATGGAAAATGACACCGACCCTAGAGCTGTGTGAGAATTGCTCAGATGCCAGCCCAGCCATGTGGTAATGCTGTTGTGCTTATGAACACAACTGTTATTACCTTTTCAGGTAGTGATCCGCAAGTGCATTACTGTGCTGTACCCTCACAGTGTCATTTGTAGGTATTATTAGATTCATTTTACAAGTGGGTGAACTGAGGCATAGAAGCATTAAGAGCGTATAGTAAAGCTCATAAATTTCATACTGTAAGTAGGCTTATTAGCAAGGAGGCACGTGGCTTGTGTCGGGCTGCTACTCATTCCCTGCTCTGGGAATGAGTGCATGACTTGCTTGCTGCTTTTGAACTAGCTCTTGTATTCCAATACACCCACAAGCTTCACTGAAAATTGACTCTGAGTTGCACAGAAGTTGAAAGGAGCAGGTGCCATTCCTGATCTGACACTCGCTTTAGGTGAGGCGCTGCCATTAACTTTAAGGGGCTTTGACTTCAAGGAGCTTTGGATCAGGTCCTCTGTGAGACTTGTGTTTTGCAGTGGGACCAAAAGTCAGTACATACATCTCAGCATGACAGGTCTTTAAATGCAAGACCAAATCAAAGGCACAAACATCCCTTTTCATTGTGTCTTCCTTTATGGTGTCAAACCCAGCTCTTGATCTCTAATTTTACTTTAATTGAAATCATATATGTGAGTGAAAAATATTGATCACCTTTGCTGTCCTTTCCCAACCACAGTGTCTGGAAGATCTCAGTCATCACTAAGTCAATGTTTGCATGGCAAAACTCACCCCCCTTTTTCTTCCTAGTGGTAAATTCTCAACCATTGCTTCCATTAAAGGTCCATGTGCAGGAAGAAAAAAACCCAACCCCTCTGTCCTTCCCATTTCTCTTTTCTTCCATTTTTTTTCAGATTTTCAGATGATTACTTCAAAAAATGCAC